ACAGAGGACCAGCTGGAGACCACCAACAGGGCGCGCGATGAGGCGCTCAAGCAGCTCCGCAAGATCCAGGCCAGTTGGCCCAACACTCCCATCAGGTTGCTCACCTCGTCTCCACCTCTGCTGACCGCGTCGGTGTTTTCCGCGCCATCAGGGCCAGGTGAAGGATCTCCAACGGGAGCTGGAGGACTCTCGCGCCGCCCAGAAAGAGGTCCTCGCCTCGACCAGGGAGGCTGAGCGCAAATCCAAAGTCATGGAGGCCGACGTGGTTCAGCTGCACGAGGTACGGCGGATGTGAGGTTCGCCATTAGCGAAACCAACGATGTACTTTGCGAATCATTTTTCATGCAAGATGAATCGCTGCTGGCCATCTTTTTTTTTTTTTTTTTAATGCAATTTCAATATAAGTTATTGCAGTTTTGATGGGATAGGATTCACTCCACTTAATACCCGTGACAATACGATACATTCCAATTCTAAATATAGTAAACGATTCATTTCAGTACGGGAAGAGAAGTGCTCGTAGCTTCTGATGTAACAGCAGGAATACTTCTTGTTTGCGATTTAACTAATTATTCAAATCAAATCAAGCATTTCCACTGGGCTCGTGTGGTTTAGATGCTGGCGTCGGCCGAGCGAGCTCGAAAGCAGGCGGAGGCGGAGAGAGACGAGCTGGCCGAGGAGCTCGCCAGTAACTCCTCCGGGAAGTGAGTACCTGTCGTTCTACTTTTTAGAATCCAGGACACTTGCTTTGTAGTTGTTATTGTCCGATATGCACAACTTTTTGTGAATAGTGTACTTTCATGAACGCACCGTCTCTTCGTGACGCGGCGTCCCTTTCAGGAGCATGCTGTCTGATGAGAAGCGCCGCCTGGACGCCAAGATCACCCATTTGGAGGAAGAACTGGAGGAGGAGCAGACCAACATGATCAACCTCAACGAGCGTCTGAGGAAGAGCCAGCAGCAGGTGATGTCTGGCAAATCCATCCATTTGTTTCTCAGGGAAAAAAAAATGTACCTTCTATCGGCTTGATAGGGCTGTATTAGGTCAATTTTTCGATTTGGTACTTCCGTGACCAAAAATCATATCGATAACCAGCTACTGTGCACAGTGTTCCAAATTATTTAGTCAATGATGTTTTACTCAGATTTTTAAAAATAGGCATTGTAAATGGCAGTCAGCGCGATTGTCTAGTCTTCAACCGTTCGAGAATAATTTGAATGTTTTTAACTAAACCTCCCATTTGGAAAGACTAAAAATCTGAGAAAGACATGATTTGCTTCATAATTTGGAAGGAGGTGTATTTGTTTTGCTATTTTTGTCCCATTTTGTGGACAAAAGACTTGGCTTGACGTCAGGTGGATGACTGCTGCATTGACTTTGCATACTACCCGCAAGTGTAAAAACTCCTTAAAATGGATTTTGGGTAGGAGACAGAATGACTTTACTCGTTTTCTACCTTTGGGCGTGCAAGGTGGAGCAGTTGAGCGCCGAGCTGACATCTCAGCGAGCGTCGTCGCTGGCCAAAGAGGCGGCCAGGCAGCAGCTGGACAAGCAGAACCGGGAGTTGAAGGCTAAAGTTCAGGAGATGGAAGGCCAGGGCCGATCCAAGCTCAAATCGTCCGTCGGCGCCCTGGAGAACAAAGTGAGGGAGCTGGAAGAGCAGATGGAGGCGGAGAGCAGGTAAAAAAAGGATGAGCCGATAGCCCGGGCCGGGAAAGCAAAAGCGTTGCAATATGTGGGCTCGAGTGTTGCCACACATCTCTTAATTCACAAACATTATGCTCACATTCCTCAAAATTCACTGTTTATGATGCGATTCATTCCGATTGTGATTCAACACGATTCACTTTTCGTTCTGTGTGTCACTCCCATTCCAATTCGTTATTATTTGACATATTTCGATGACACATGGTAGTGGTGATAGTAATGATGAAGAGGATGCTTGTAGGGAGCGTCAGGCCGCCGCCAAGAACTTGCGTCAGAAGGAGAAGAAGCTGAAGGACTTAAGCGCACAGATGGAGGACGAGCGGAAGCAGGCGCTGCAATTCAAAGATCAGGTGACGGCACGCAAACGTGAAGTCACACTTCATAAGACGCCGTTGTGAAGCTGTAATTGATGCTCAAGGGCACATGACGAGTTATTGAGACAGTTGTTGCGATGTACCCACCATTGTTATGTTTCTATAAATTTCACCAAATATTCCTAACTTTTTGTCAGTATTGTATTTTTAAATATTTTTTTTCTCGGAAAAAAGTTATTCTGTAGATCAACCATCATATTTCTCAAAGTTTGAGATTTCTGAGAACACTATATATATTTTCTAGAAAAGTCAATACATTTAATTTCCACTTACCATTTCCTCCAGATGTGTCACTTTTCTTCCTCCAAACTTTCCTTCTCTTCCTGTTTGTCTACAAACAGGCGCGGCGGCGAGGCCACTTTTGGCGGCTCCAGCCCACGCAGTAGCGGCGGCGGCAGCGGCGGAGGTTCCATGAGGAGCTTGGGCGCGCTGACAGGAGGAAGCGTCGGCCGCGGCAGGAGCACCATCGTGGAGAACTCGGTGGAGATCCCAGAGGCAGACGAGGAGGAGGAGGAGAAAGCTCGCTCGCCGTCTCCCGCCGCACGAAACTCCCCGCCCGACGCCTTTCACGAGGAGCGCCCCCACTTACCATTTCCTCCAGATGTGTCACTTTTCTTCCTCCAAACTTTCCTTCTCTTCCTGTTTGTCTACAAACAGGCGCGGCGGCGAGGCCACTTTTGGCGGCTCCAGCCCACGCAGTAGCGGCGGCGGCAGCGGCGGAGGTTCCATGAGGAGCTTGGGCGCGCTGACAGGAGGAAGCGTCGGCCGCGGCAGGAGCACCATCGTGGAGAACTCGGTGGAGATCCCAGAGGAAGAAGAGGAGGGGGAGGGGGACAAAGCCGGAGGAGAAAGCTCGCTCGCCGTCTCCCGCCGCACGAAACTCCCCGCCCGACGCCTTTCACGAGGAGCGCCCCCCTGAAGAGTAACTGCCACAAGTTAGAGCGCCACCTGTTTCTTTGGCATGCACTTTTCTTGATAAACACTCAAAACATAAATAGCAGCAAATATTCAGCAACAAAAAGTTTGTAATTCGATAGGTTTATGGACATTTCTTTGACACAAAAGTGTTATTTTTAAGTTTCAAATTGCAATATTTGACCACAAAGAGCAACAAATAGTGTAGCTTGTCCCCTAAAACGCCAGTGTTGTCCAAAACATTGAATACCTGGACACAAAAGTGCAATATTGGTACTGTAAAATGCAATGTTTGACGACAAAAAAAAAAAAAAGTTGGACTTCGGCACACAAATGTTCCATTGAAAAACATTATGCAGGACAGTACATCCTAAAAAAATTGCATATTTGTCAACCCCCCCCCCCGGGACAAAACAAAT